AATTCATTTGCCTGTATAAAGTGTCTGTGCTTCTGGACTGACTTGCCAATCTTTTCCCTTCCTTATTTATACCAACTCCTAGTCAAGGTTTTATTAAATGGTTACCTTTTAGAAAGTCGACCAAAACTCAAACACATTTAATGAAAATATTAACTTCTCATATGTTGTCCCACATTGAGTATCTTAAATCTTTTTTTTTTTTTAGTTTATTAAACTAAGTGTATCTAGACTTGCTAAATCTTTACATGTCTTTTAAAGAGTAACACTCTTCCTTTGTACATATCCACAAACATACATATCCCCACAGTGTTCATACGCAACTAACTCCTAGGAAAGGGACTTGTTCTAAGGTCACTTCTAGGTCTTTTGTGCTATAAGAACTTCATTTTTTGGTGTCTCCCATTTGCAAAGCACTTGCATGTAAAGTCTTTGTATAAAAGAACTTAGGTGTATAAAATGCAATAATATGCACATTATCAATCATTTAAATGAACACATTCCAGACAATGTGAGACAGTCAAAAGACAAACTCAAATCCCTGAGAATGGCTGAGAAGGGAGGATGGTGGTAATTCTGAATGAGTGAAACTTACATCGGGCAGTCTCCCCAACCTGGGCTCTGTCCTAGACAGAAGTGATAGTGATGACTTTGGTGATATTCTCCCCAGTGCAGAGAACTGCATTCGGAGCTAGACAACCTCAGTGACGAGTACCTCTCCTGCTTGCGTAAGCTGCAGCACTGTCGAGAAGAGCTGAACCAGAGCCAGCAGCCACCTCCCAGAGTAAGAGGGTCTATCCTTCTGTAAAGCCCCGGATGATGGGACAATTCCTTCTTTAACCAAGTTTTGCAGATAAAATGAATCAGCCCACGCCAACATCTGGCCATTCTGTCCCATTGTGCTTGGTTTACACTATACTGACATTATGGCAACCATTGGAAAAAATACTGGCTCATGCATCAAAGCCCAACTTTCACGGAACTCTCAATGCCAGAGGGAAAGACTTACTCTTAGCTAAAGTATGAAAGGGTGTTCTTTTAGCCTGTGATAAGCATGGAGCCAGGAAGAGTAGGACAACAAAAGTACTGGGGAATATGAACAAAGAACATAATTTTACTGAGTTATTTTCCACCCTTGATTATTCATATCAGTATTTATATATCTGGTCCCTGATGGATATGGCTCCCTGGGCCAGGGACCACTGGTTAAGTGGTTTCACCCCAAGAGAGGTGACAAAGTGGGCAATAGTGTAAAAAGCTTTTTCTCCACCACCAACCCAGGGTTTTCCACTGGACTAAAGTAGGAAGAAGAAAGATTTTTGCCCATATCTTTTCCAGTCAACTCATGGCCACTTTCTTCTGTCCCCCTGTCCCTCTGCAGAGGCAGTGCGGGCGATGGCTCCCAATGTTGATGGTGGTGATTGCTGTAGCGCTGGCAGTGTTCCTGGCCAATAAAGACAACCTGATGATCTGAATAAAACAGCTGCCTTGGGTGAAAATCAGAAGCAAGCAACTCAACGAAAAGAAGATTTGGGTACATTACAGCTTGGGTTTTCCTTTTCCAACTGACTTGGGATTTCTGACTTTTTGTTATTTTCTTAACCTACTGTAAATAAACTTCACCTGACCAGACTGTTCCTCAGAACTCTTGGTTTATTCCTGAATGGTGTATTACATTAACAAGTATCACATATTTAAGCATACTGGTGGTCTACTCTCCTCAAATTCAGCTGGAGGCATAAAAAACATGCAGAAAAGCCTCCAGCCCAACTTTCCTAGCAGACGGCACCCACATAGAGCACCACACAAGTATTTAGCTTGCCTTCCACAACCCTGCTTTTCCTCTGTCATCTCTTTTCTTCTATCTCTTATCCTGTGAAAATGAAAACATCTCCACTAAGAGGACTTCCTGGTATAGAAATGGCAAGTATGTACTATCTACCAATTTGCTACCAGCACCAGCATTACCTATTTCCATGCCCTTTGCATTTGCAGCCAATTATTACAGCATTGTGCCTTAGTGTACTCAAGACACTTGGAATTGGCACTTGAGATGATTATTTGCCATCCCCAACCTAAAGATGATCTTTTACTGAGTACCTTCTGTATGAGAGGAGAGTTAAAGTCAGAGGGCCACAGCCGGCAGTGTGACTATCTCAGAGGAGATGCTGAGATCAGCAAAGTCATTCTGAGTCCTAAATCGGGTTCTGAGGTCCTTCTCCCAGGTGTTTAGAATGTCCCTCAGGCCTGGGAACAAGCTCTCTGGGACACTAAAGGAATAGAGCAGGATTGGGTGTTGACCTAGCAACCATGAGATCCGGGCAGTGAATACTCGTAGTGGAGTCAGAGCTAAGCAGTTGTCAGCTACCTGGTTCAGGTGAAAGGTATAGGGGACAGGATAGCCCAGGAGGATCCCAAATACAGTACAGAGATTCCAGTCTGAGGAATGGAGCCTGCTGTGGGAGACTGCTAGAGATAAGTCCCTCTGCAGTCCCTGCAAATGTGTGATGATCTCAGCCACGAGGGCCTTCAAGTCCTGACGCTGGTCCAGGGAGCAGACACAAGGGTGGGGCTGGCAGCCAGAAACGTCCACAAAGGCTATGGTACCAAGCAGCACCTGCTCCAAGTGCTGGCATACATGCTCAGGACTGACAATCAGGCTGTTTTCTCCAATCTCAAGGATGTGAAGTCCAAAGTTCAGGAAACCAAGCCCCTGCAGCTCCTCCAGATAGCTCTGGAGCTCTGATGCCCCTGCACAGTTGCAATCATAGAGCACAGCTGGCTTCAGTCCCCGGGCCACAGCCAGCACCTCTCCAGCTAAGTGAAGGCAGATGGCTTGGGGTAGACTCCGTCTCTTTCCCAGGCCAAGGTTCTGCTGAGCAGCTGCCACCAGCAGCTGAGGGCTCGGTGATGACATGACATCTAGAAGCAACATCAAGAATGGCCTCCTTAGCTAGCCACAATTCCCTTCCCTGGGTGGCATCTTTCAGCCAGACACTTGAGGAGGGGCCTAGAAACAAAGCAGGAGCAGGGAATTATTAGCAGCCAGTAACACAGCAGGAAACCTGCCAAAAGCCTTCCTGTTAAGTCTAAGTGTCTTCCAAAGGTTATTCTGTCCCTTTCTCTGCTTTGAAATGCTGACCCAACCCAGACAAGATAGGATCACCAATGCTACCTGATCTTTCTGGTTGACTTGGTCTCCCTCAATCTCAAATTCATGTGTCTTTCTAGCCTTACAGCTAGATTTACATTCTCTCTGGCTTTTATTCTAAATTTTATATGTTGCAAATTAAGTTCTCTGGTTCAAACCTTAAGGAGTTTGGGGCAGAAGCGGAGGCGGGGCAGTCTTTGGCAAAATTCACAGCATTTCGCCCAAAAGCCCTTCTGGGACAGAGCTCCAAGTTCTAAATGTATCCTTTCCACTGACAACTCCCCTACTCTTCCCACCAGGGAATAGTTGTAAGAATAGCAATTTGATTAATATGCACCAGAATGTGGACTAACAACCATCGCATCCTGACACATTAAAATGAATGAATGAAATCCGCTAGAACTGCAAGAAGGGTAGTATTTTAACTTCTGCTGGCCCCGCCTTCCCTTGCGATCCGACATCAAGAACCTTTGGAAGATGGGCTTTCTCTGATCCACACACCCCACACCAGAGCATATTATAGTGATTTGCTAAATGAGGCAAAAGTCTCTCTCACATACGTTCTTTTTCCACGTCCGCTACAGGTTCGCGGGCTCAGAAACTTTTTGCTGCTTCCTGCCTGCTGCCGGGAAGGCAGCTAGTCCCCCGCGCCCAGCCGCAAGCAACACTGCAAATCCCGCCTGTGCTGGGAAGACCCTCGCAGCCGGCTCCGCTCTAGGCCGGCAGACACCTTGTTGCGCATGCGCACCCACTCGGGTGCCGCCCTCATTCGCCCCATTCCGTGACGTCATCCAGCCGCTCTCCCGCCTCGCATTGGAACCACTAGCCAGGCCGCCTTGCCACTGCCGGAAGTTTGGGCCACCCTGCAGCCCGCCCTTTCCGGACAGACAAAACCCGGCCCCACCTGTCTGCTTAGGAACTGGGAAGGGCGGAAGTGAACGAGAAAAGGCGGAACCTGGTGTAACTGGTTTCCCGCTGCTGCCCTCATTTTGCTTCGCCGAGCGTCCTGTGTCTGTTATGACGTCTGGGAATCCATAAACAGGGCACACAGCACTCTAAATTAACACCTTTGAGTTGTATCTGTGGAAATACGTTTTGTCCAGACGAAACATACCTCAAGACAACATATTTTGCAGAATAGCCTCACCTATGGGTGGTGCTGCAGCGTTTTTTGTTTTTTTTTTAACTTTGACTTCTCTAAATCATACATTTGAGAGACTTACAAGAACAGCTCTCTAGAGAGGGTGTGAAGGTGTGAGTATTCACTTTGAACAAATACATGCCAGCCATGCTGCTAGGTCCTGGAGGTATTGCAGTGTGCAAAAGACAAAACCCCCACTTTCATGAGGCATGAGTTCATGTCTACTGAATCTAGTTTGCTGATTTCAAATAAGAAATGAGACGTGATGACACAGGCTTTCCAGTCAGGTCATTACAAAGGAAAAGTGTTACTTCCCATAAGAGTTAACATCTTTTTAACTACCAGCTATTTGACCCATACCATGAAGAGAAAGGATTTCTTGAGAAAACCCCAATGTCTAAGGAAATGCCCCCAATTTATTTATACTTGGAGCAGAATAGAGATTAAGGGAATGACGGACACCTACAATGGAGTCGTCACTCCTGGGTCTATCTTGGTGGTGTCTTCAGATGGTGAAAAGTTAACTGTACAGTAAAGATGGGCTCAGCATGGGAGGAGGACCAGCTTATAGGAGTTATCAGCCTAACTCTGGTTCTTAGCTCAGAGGGAGTCAGAAGCTGAGAGTAGAAAGTAGTCTTCTAATTTTAGAATGTTTTCCTTCCCCCATTTATTTAATTTTCCCATGGTGGTTAAAAATAAATCCCTAAAAGACTGATTTAATTCATTCATTTATTCCAGCAACAAATATTTGAGAACACACTGTGTACCAGACACTGTTCTAAGGACTGGCAGCAAAGTCCAAGACAAACAATTCCTACCTTCAGCAAGTTTGTAGTCAAGCAGGATAAAGATGCTGAGCATTACGAGGAAAATGATTATTCTGAAAGGGGAAGCATAGGGTGCTATGGGAACATGTAACCAGGGACCTAATTATATAGGAAAGGGGCCAGCCCAGATCCAACACTTGCTTCTCCCAGTTTACCTCCAATAGGTTCTTTTTAACCTGAACTAATCTAGTTTGGTGGAGTATACAGCAAGGAAAAGGAAGAGCTGTGACAAAATCTAACTCCCTTCCTAGTCTTAAGCAAGGTGAAGGCAAGGATGCAAAGACATCAATGGAGTAAGTGGTGGTAGCCATCAAAGGAAATAGAAGACTGAGGCCCTAAAAAAAGGAAACCTAAATTTATCCAGCAGGACAGAAAAAGAGCATTGAGGGTGATCAGCTGGGATCCCTGCATGTATGCTCCTGGCATTCTGAAAAGGAACCAAGACAAGGAAGAAAACGGGGTATCTAGTTAAGATCTCACAAATCACTCATCCATTCCTCTGACATGTTCATAAACTTTTCATAATGGTTACAAACCAAAAGCTTGGTATTTCTTGGCACTTTCCCAATACCCTTTACCAGCTCACATCATCTGGGCTCCCACCCAGAATACAGATAGCCTGTTAGCATTTCACAGAAGAACAAGAGTTGCCCTCCTAATTTACCTGCAGTGGGTTATTTTCAGCTTTGAGCTCCCACACACAGATGGGGCAGCTAAATATCAAGACCAAATCCCTCACTTCACCCACTCAACAAAGCGACCCCAAAATGTAAAGTTTCTGTGCCTTTAATGCTTCCTGGTCCCTAAAAACCCAACTTTTTCTTGAAGCTGGGCACCTATCTTTAGCTACATTTCTTAATCTTTTCATAATAGCATGGGCAATGCTTTTCATAATAGCAATTTCCACTAGGTCTCTTAGAAACTCTAAAACCAAGCCTTAAGCACTTTAAAAAAAATAAATAAGTCCTCGTGTCACCACTGATTTTGAACTTTTAATTTTTAAAAGAAAGCTAGCTCAACTTTTGAGTCATTTTCGAAAGTAGGAGATGGCCTGGTTTAAAGGCACCAGACTAGACATGGGCTTCCTATGTCCTGACACAGACAGATAGGCATCACTATTCAAGAGGACTGGGGCTTGAAACCACAGATTAGCATCTTATTTGTAATTTAGGTCCCAGATTGATTGACCCCAGGAGTTCAAGCCCAGCCTGGGCAACATAGCAAGACCTCATCTCTATAAAAATAAAAAAATTAGCCAAGCATCATAGTGCATGCCATTGTCCTAGCTACTCAGGAGGCTGAGATGGGACAATTACTTGAGCCCAGGAGCTTAAAGCTGCAGTAAGTATGACAATGACACTGCACTCCGGCCTCGGCAACAAAGCAAGACTCTGTCTCAGAAAAGAAGAGAAAGGCAAAAGAGTTAAAGACTCAGCAAAAGTTTCTACATGAGACCAGTTTGTGACAGATAGAGCTGCACAGTTCTCTACCACTCTTTACCTTCACTGTTCACACCCAGATACTTCCACTAGTAAGGGAGACAAGCAGGTTTATACTAGGTGAGCCTTTCCAGAAGAGTACAGCCCAGCCCTTCTTCATCCCAGCCTTAACACACCCAATAACCCATTTCTTCCAACTGCAAAAAATCTACATGATACTCTTCCTTTTGTACTCAGAGGAGTGTATCTTAGATCCCTAGCTGAGTCTAGCTCAAGGAAGAAAATAAAGAGAGCTCTTTCCTCTTAAAACTTCCACCTGAATCACATACTGTCATCTACCCCTCTCCCCACTCCTGCCCCCCACCTCCACACACACTGGTATTTGAATTGTAATAAGGTAAATGCCTGACAACCTATTCTTCCACAGAATCCCTAGCCTTTCTGTGTCAGTAGCTTCCCTTTAGAACCCAAATTTGTGAGCTTTCACTTCACAGGCTGGGTGACTTTCAGACTTTGGCACCCACTTCTATTTAGATATCAAGCATGGTTTCTAAGCAACCAGCCAGCCAGCTCCTCTCCCTCTCACTTCCCCCATCAGGGAGCCAGCTTACTATACTAGCAGAACAGGTCAAACAGAGCTCGATCCTGGACAAATCAGTGCTTGAGGAAACTTCAACAAAACCAAGGAAAAATGTGGTACAAGAACAATGAAGAAGGAGTCTGTTCCAGGCAGTTTAGTCTTGTACAAGTAGAAGAAGTTCATCAAGTCGGTTTTAATGTTGGATGCAGTTTCAGGCATCATTCCAATCTCTTCACTTTACAAGCAGTAAATTCTGAAGCCCAGAGTTTAAAAGACTTGTTCAAGGTCACATTGGAAGCAAAGCTGCAGCTAGAACCCTGGTGTCCAAACTCCCAGGCCAAATCTCCTACTGCTATGCTACATCATACTACCATTAGGAGATTTGAAAAAGAAAAGTAAACTCTGAAGGGTGATTTTTCCATAAATTAAATCAGCTTTAAATCTAGGCATATTCGGAGAATCACAGACTTCTAACACTGTTAGAGAAAAGACAGATATAAAGCTGGTTAAATCTAAACAATAAAAAAAAATCCATATGTACAATACTATAAAAAAGAGAAGGAAGAAGATGGCATTCATGATTACTGGGGCGGCAGGGCAGGGGGCAGTTGCATGCTGGGGTTGGGCTGCATGGGCTGCCAGCTTTCCTGGGTTTGAAGGATGCGGTACAGCTGCTTCAGCTGAGCAACAATGTTATCTTTGATGTCTGGGGTTGAGATCTGCAGGCGGACACTGCCACTATCAAAGGATCGTGTGAAATCACCAGAAAACATCTCGTAGATCATCCGAGCCACTACTGGAATCACCTGTTTGGGACACAGAACATAGGTGTAACCTCAGAGGAAAAGGTATTTGTAAATAGCATGATGGACCCAAGATTGAAGGACAGACCAAAGAGGCCCTGAGGAAGACCCTCATTCTACTATCTAAATATAGGATATGCCTTCCTCTCTTTGGACCATCCTCCTGCCAATGCTCACTCTGGAAGTTGGTTCAAATGAAGGTAGAGAACCTAGATGTAGCATTACATCACATGCCTAAATAAATGACAGCTTACTTTGCAAGACTTTTAACAAAATGTCATCTATTGCTTGCCTTGCTACACAACTCCAGGGGCCAAGCCCAAGTGGCCTTGCTGCCACATCCTAGAACAAATTTATATTCCTAAAAGCAACTCAAAAGGTTTTTCTAAGAAAAGCTGGAAAAGGCCAAGCATGGTGGCTCACACCCATAATCCCAGCATTTCAGGAGGCTGAGGCGGGAGGATAACTTAAGCCCAGAAGTTCAAGACTGGCATGGGCAACGCAGTAAGATCTCGTCTCTGCTAAAAATAAAATTAGGCCAGGCATGGTGGCCTGTGCCTGCAGTCCCAGCTACTTGGGAGGCTGAGGTGGGAGGATTGCTCAAGCCTGGGAGGTTGAGGCTCCAGTGGGCTGATATGGCACTACTGCACTCTAGCCTGGGCAACAGAGCAAGACCATGTCTCAAAAAAAAAAAAAAGTGCAATTTACATTGTGTGTGTGTATAAATAAAGAAAAGCTGGAAAGGGTCATATCCTGTGAGGTTTCAGCAAGACTCTAAGGTCAGTAAAAGAATGAAAGATAACGGCCGGGCGCGGTGGCTCACGCCTGTAATCCCAGCACTTTGGGAGGCAGAGGCGGGTGGATCACGAGGTCAAGAGATCGAGACCATCCTGGTCAACATGGTGAAACCCCGTCTCTACTAAAACTACAAAAAATTAGCTGGGCATGGTGGCGCGTGCCTGTAATCCCAGCTACTAAGGAGGCTGAGGCAGGAGAATTGCCTGAACCCAGGAGGTGGAGGTTGCGGTGAGCCGAGATCGTGCCATTGCACTCCAGCCTGGGTAACAAGAGCGAAACTCTGTCTCAAAAAAAAAAAAAGAATGAAAGATAAGATCTCCACTAAATCAGTCACCCACTTTAAGGAACTTGCCTTTTCCAGCATGGCTCCATTGCACAAACCTGAGTCTGTTACCCCATCTGATGAGATTAAAACCTACATGAGCTGATGGATGCTTGATGAAGGCTCAACCCAGACCTGGGGGCTAAAGCACTGGCAAGAAGGAAAAGAGTTGTTGACACAGCCTTATCTTCTCACCTGAACCAAGATAAGTTTCCTTTCCAAGGGTTTCCCATCTGGCCATTCTTCCCCAAAGCATAAGTAGATCTCAAACGGTGGCTGCTTCTCTATCTGTCCTTTCTGGTGGGCAATGAGATCTGCAGAAAGTGGAAGAGCAAGTTTGGTATGCTGGGTCATTCCACATCCACTCAACAAGTACCATCTGTTCCGCTGTCCATTACAATAGCCACTAGCCACATATGCTCACCAATTTTAAATTAATTAAACAGTTCCTGGGTCACATTAGTCATATTTATGTGCTTAATAGATACACGTGGCTTGTGACAACCATACTGAATAGCACAAACATACTGAATAGTACAAATTTCAGAGGGTTCACTTGGACACCATTGATCACGACTTGGGGTTCAAACCACATTGTAAAAAAGTTACATCTCAGTGCTTTCCCTAAAACTGCCTGCTTGAATTCACCACTCAGATATTTCCCAAAAAAATACGTGCTATTCTTAATATATAACCGATAGGGTTATCTTCCAAAGTTAAAGACAAGCTGGTAACACTTGTCTCCCTCTTCTGCCATTGAAGGAGCCACAACCAACTTAAAAATAGCTTCCAAGTACATAGCCTTGGAGAGAAACTCCCTTCTTTGTTGCCTCAGTCACCTCCATTTTTTAGAACCACAGTTCTGTTCTCCCTTGACCTCCTCCAGAAGAAAGTTTTTAAGATCTTTGCCATGCCAGGAAAGCAGAGGGGTGAAAGGGAAGGATGGTGGAAAATGTACTTCCAGGGAACAATTCCTACCATCAACCTTCTGAAAAATGACTTACCACTGAGGAATGTTTCCAGACAAAACAGCTTGACCTTCTTTTGTCTCTCAATCAGGTTTGGAGCAACAAGTGACGGGGCACATGGCCCAGACCAGTACACCTTGCACTGGCACAGCCTGATGGCATAAATGGCGTGACCGCTGACCTCCAGGATCAGTCCTCTGTCCATGACGTCCAGCAGCTTGCTAGTGAACAGCTTCTGCTTCTCATTGGTAATATGTTCAGGACCTGGGAATTTGACCTGCTCCAGGCTGATGGGACCAAAGAGCTCCTCCTGGTCAGGCATGGGACCCAGATCCCCATAGAAGAGTCGGCAGCCCTGGGGGTTGCTCACGGTCATAGTCTGCCCATACTCCTTCCCACGGTACTGAAACTTGATGTCCAGGTCAGTCACTGCAAGGTTAGAGATGACAGTGAGAGTCCTGCTTCACTGCTCTGCCTGGTCATCCCTGTGACTCATGCAAGTCCAATAAGATCAAGCCACCTTTCAACCAGCAATCAGGAAGGCCACTGCCATAGTTATCCTTCCTGCAATAAAGGGAGACATCAACATATCCCTGGAATATTCACTCAAAAGGCTTCCTGAAAGCAAACAGTTCAAGGTCCATCTCAACTATTTCTGTTCAATCACCACACCCTAAGGGCTACAATTTCATCAAGTAAAGTGGTCCTAGTATCCCCATGCTATACTGACTGAGTCTTTATATCAATGGGCATTGGAAGGAGCTAAAAACTAAAGTATCTGATTTCTGTCTCATTTTTTGCTTATTGTTTAAAGAAAGCTGAGGAACATAAAGCAATACCAAACAATTTTTCTGAAAATGACATGTGAGCACACACACTGGGGATCTGTTCTAATAATATACCACAAAAGGACACAGTTCACAGCAAAGTTAATTTTTACTCAGCAAATCTCCAATGAACCCAATACCCCTTATCAAAGCTACTTAGCCTCTTGAACAAAATTGTATTAATAGCACTCACACACCTACCATGTGTAGTGTGAAAGGGAGACCCAGGCATAAATTTGCACCAAATTCAGAAAGAGGTGTTTTCTGTAGGTCCTAAAGCCTCTCAAAATCCAAGAGCCTCCTCTACCAAATCTGTGGCCATTAACCTCCCTGTTCCTCAACTGACCTTGTCACTGAATCCCCCTGCTTGAGTGATAAACCTGGGCCTCCTACCCACCTAAGACCTGAATAACCTGGAGCTGGAGCTGTAACCAATCAGAGCATCCCCATGGGCAAGTACGTATCAACCAATGTTTTTTTTTCTTTCTTTTTTTTTGAGACCAGGTCTCATTCTGTTGCCCAGACTGGAGTGCAATGGCATGATCATGGCTCACTTCAGCCTCGACCTTCTGGGTTCAAGTGATCCTCCCACCTCAGCCTCCCAAGTAACTGGGACCACAGGCATGCACTGCCATGCCCACCTACTTTTTTTTTTTTTAATTTTTTTTGTAGAGAGTCTCACTATGTTGCCCCAGCAGGTTTCAAACTCCTGGCCTCAAGCATTCCCCCCACCTCAGCCTCCCAAAGGGCTGAGATTATGGATGTGAGCCACCACACCCAGGTGGGCCAGTGTTTCTTTACTTCTTCCCTGGTGACTCATGGGCTAGCCAGAAAGTACCTCTAGGAGAAGTGGTTTTTTAATACATGGCAAAGAAAAGAAGTCAGAAAGCAGAACAGGAGTCTGCAACAGGAGCAGAAGACCTAGCAAGAAAGACAAAGTCACACTTACTTGGGAGAGAGCTGATCCACAGTTCTGGAGAGCTATAGAAGGGCTGTATAGGTGCCTGGGGTACTTCCATCTCCAGGGGTTCAGTTTTGGGCCACACTGCTTCAGGGCTGCAGTTGCCCACACTGCAGTTGCCCACACTGGCTGGCGCCATGGGAGAACCTAGAACAAAAACATATGGTGAGCAGACAGGGTACCACACATGCACATTGCTTCCTGATGCTCTGAGAATTCACAACGTCAGCAGACAACAACTAAACACTGAACTCTGATCCAGTGTGATCTTCTAGCCCATCAGTGATCCCCATAACTTACACAGTAAGAAATAAGATTCCCTGCAGGTTCCCGTGCTCCTGCTTCCTCATCAAATTATTTCTCCCATAAATTCATAGTTTTAAAAACCTTTGTTTCCTGAAGATTAACAGACAAGTCAGTTTTCCCTGGAGGTTAAATTACAAGGAGTAAGAGATTCCATATTGTAAAATTTGGCCCCAGAAATTAAATAGAAGCTGGTTGTCTTCCATAAAATGAACTCAACCGAATTAGCTGATTAGCTTCGAGGAACTGTTAATGCATAGAAATCCCTTTAAAAACAAACAAATACTTTTACATGCATAAAATGTCTAGAAGGATACTCAAGAACCTAGAAGGATCTGATTCCTTCAGGAAAAGAAATGAAAGGTTCAGGGACAGGACAGAAGAAAACCTTTCCATTGGTTTACCTTTTTGTACCATTATGAATTTAAACCATGTAAAAGTATTATTTATTCAAAAGGATCCAATATCCCTGCTACTGTCAAAGTTGACTTGCTTCAAAGTCTACAGATTTCTCCTCCTAGCCTCACCTCTTAGGCATCTATTCTTCAACAATTCTTCATCCTCTGCCCCAACAGCTCTGAAATCATAAAAGTTAATGTTTCTTTTGACCCTTTGTGGATAAGCCTGTTTAAATTTATGTTCCCATGTTACTTTTCTGTTTTTAGTGTCTATTCTACAACTTTCCAAAAGAGGATTAAAGGCAGATTAAGTCATAAGGACAGGCAAATATTAGCTTTAATAAAATATAAACAGAAATAGGAAATCAGGATCCTGGAAATAAATTGCATCCTTATAGGGGATGAGAATAACAGAATGAGTCAGCCAAACATTTGGGAAAGGATCCCACATTTCTAGATGTTCAATTTCACTAAGTGGGAATGTCACATGTGGCAAAATTTTTTTTTTTTTTAACTTTTATTTTAGTTTCAGGGATATATGTGCTGGTTTGTTATACAGGCGAATTACGTGTGCTAGGGTTTGGTATACAGATTATTTAGTCACCTAGTTAATAAGCACAGTACCCAGTTTTTAATCCTCATCCTCCTCCCACCCTCTGTCCTCAAGGAGGCCCCAGTGTCTATTGTTCCCTTCTTTGTGTCCGTGTACTCAGTGTTTATCTCCCACTTATGAGTGATAACATATAGTATTTGGTTTTCTATTCCTGTGTTAGTTCACTTAGGATAATGCCCTTCAGCTACATCCATGTTCCTGCAAAAGACATATCACTCTTTTTTATAGCTGCATAGTATTGCATGGTATATATGTACCACGTTTTCTTTATCCAATCCACCGTTGATGGACATTTAAGTTGATTCCATGTCTTTGCTATTGTGAATAAGTACTTCAGTGAACATATGTGCACATGTGTCTTTATGATAGAACAATTTATATTCTTTTGGGTATATACCCAATAATAGGAGTGCGGAGTAGAATGGCAATTCTGATTCAAGTTCTTTGAGAAATCACCAAACTGCTTTCCGCAGTGGCTGGACTAATTTACATTCCCACCAGCAGGATAGAAGTATTCCTTTTTCTCCATAACCTCATCAGCATCTGTTATTTTTTGACTTTTCGAAAACAGTCATTCTGACTGGTGTGAGATGGTAGTTCATTGCGGTTTTGATTTGCATTTCTCTAATAATTAGTGATGTTGAACATGTGGCAATATTGACCTGGAAGATCTCTATGAAACTTCTCTTTACCTGTACTTGGTTGCAAAGATATAAATGGAAGGATAGGTGAAGGAGGGCCAGTGGACAGACAAGTGTCATTTCCTGATTCTCAAAGGTAGGGGCATCACCTAGGGTAAGGTACTTTAAAATTCTAAAGAAATCATCTTGATATCCTATCATCTTGATATCCTAAGTTTTATAGGTGGCACAAGTTATCTCATTTTGACCCATTGCAGCCGGATCGTACTAAAAAGACAATGAAAAACTGGTCAGCTGGATGCAAGTCATTTGAGTGGGAGCATTTCAGTGGACAAATGAAGTAAAGATGCTGCCGAAGAGCAATGCGATTTGTGTTCATGTGTCCTCGGAAGATGCAGTGGGAGATTCAGTACCTGCTCTGTCACACAGTGGATTCTCAAGCTCCCAACTCAATGTTCCTGGGAAGCTGGATTCAGAAGCCCATAAAAGAAAGGTCTCTTGCAGATAAGTCCTGTCAGAGGCTAGTGTTAGCAGCTATCGACATCACAGTTTCCTGTGATACAGCCTAAGCAGAGTAGTCCTTGTTAAAGAAGTGTCACAGAATTTATACCAAGGGAAATACTGCAAGAGTTTGCCCATAACTCATAAAAATCACGCTGTACTTGGCCTGAAGGAAATCGGCAAAATGTATAACTGATGATATATTTGTATGTGGGATTAAGAATGAATTCAAGTTTTCTATTTCTTGGAATTAGCACATAAGCTTCAGAAGATGTTCTATTGCCTGAAATGCACCCACTCTACTGGGATAACTAAGCCAGCAGGGAGTTCCTCACCTCTGACTCCCGCTTGCTAACAGACCAGCAGCCTGGCTGCAGGGACCCATCCTGCTTTCAGGTCAGTGGTGGCCAATGTATTGACAGTTCCAAGGTCAAAACTCCTTACATCCTCCCTATGTCTCTGTACCACACGTCACCCCTGCTCACCATTGATGTTCAGGAAGGGGAATGTGTCCTGGATGGGAACATGGTGCTGCGACTGATCCAGCTCATCTTCCTCATCTTCTTCATCGACATCATTGTCCTTCTCATCCCAGGGAGCAGACCCTGTGGATCCTACCCAAGATACACAAGCTCACAGGTGAGCCATTCAGGTTGTACTGCCATCCCTCCCTGCAGCTGACCCACCATTCAAACTAGGGACTGCTAGCCCAGAGGCTCCTCAGGTTCAGTACACAACCTCAATGTCCTAGCTAAAAAGAGTGAGAATCAAGGGTGTATTAATCCTTGTTCTAACTCTTCCTACAGAGCCCCAATGCAAGCTGTCCTCTCTTCTTCTGTCCAGGAGTTGACCCGACTTCCTTCTCCTAGAAATCTCCTACACATTAGCTTCCTATGCACTAGCATCCCTTGATGCTAGAGGACACCAACTACTCATCCTTTTAAGTTTAATAAGAGGAACGAACGCTTCTCTCATGGCAGGACCTCCCTGGATTCACTGGAGCATACATCTAAATGATCTGGCTGTTAGTATTTGTTAAGTATGGAGTTAATAGGAGGGATCAGGAGGTATTCTCTTAGTCAAAGTATCCTGTGAATTAAATGATCACCCACCCAATATTTATAAAGAACTTATTTACCCTGATTTTGTCTCTATTATATGTATCAAAACATCACTATATACCCAATGAATATGTACAATAATTATTTGTCAATTTAAAAAAATTTTTTTTACAGATCATGTTAATTTTTTACAGACGATGTTCATTGATTCTTACAATAGCTTTTGAAGTAAATAGGAAAGCTGATATCCCATATTTTAGAGTGGGAGAAACTGAAGCTCACAAGAGGTAAAATGACTTGATTCAAGTCCCACAAGTAGTAAAGTGAGGTTTAGGACTCAAACCTTCTAAGCTTTAATCTCTTCTCCTTCAAAATTACCTGGCCTCTTGAATCCCAAGAGAGGCTACTTTTACAGTAGAACTGTATATGTATACCCCTCCATTTTCTAATGCTTTAAGTAACCAGGCTAAAAAACATTCCCCTAAGTGAGCACAACTTTGCTGACTTTGTGTCTTTTGTTTTCTGGGTCCTTCCCAGAGAAAGGCTTTCTTGCTTTACCCATCTTAAACTTTGTAAATCAGGCTGTTCTCAAGTTGACTATCTCTTAAGAGTCCAGCCCAGAATCTGGCATACTGCCCACATTCTCCCCAGCACCCGGGGCCTTACCTGGGTTAATGATCGAGCCCTGGGGCTGAGGGATGTCACACACTTGATATATCTTCACCGGGTTCATGGGCACCTCCTTGGTGCCATCATACATCAGGTTGAATTCTCTGCTCTTATTGAGAGCACAGCGCAGCTGGGCCTTCCATTTAGCTGGGTCAGGGTCATCCACCCCTTCCTGGTACTTCCCTGTCTCTACAGCCCAGGCCTGAGAATAAGAACCACGGTGAGTCCTACCATTGCCCAGAACCACTGCAAAGTGTGTGCTTACCCTTTCTCATAGATAGACACACACACACACACACACTCTCTCTCTCACACACACTCATCCATCCTCTCTCTCTCTCTTTCTCTCTCTCTCTCTCTCTCTCATGACTGCCTCACCATCCCAACCCCAATTGACAGAGACTGCAGCAGGAAACACTGCCCTTAGGACCAGGCAGGCAGGTGCCTAAGGGAAATAAAGCCATGTGCAAACACAATATATTGAAAGGAGAAGCCTTATCTCAAGCATTGGTACCAGCACCCTCAAGATGACAATGCTATAATAAAGGGCTGAAGATAAAGTCTGGGGAAAATATGCACCAAAACGCAGATCATAACTCTGGATAGCAGAATTTTGAGTAACTTTTTTTTTTGCTTATTCGTTTTTGACATGAGTTGCTTATACAACAATAGGTAAGACAAAGAAGTATGGCAGAGGATATGAACAGTTTGGCCTTTTGGGTTCCCTCCTTTCAGTCTTCAATCTGATACATAAATAAAGAATTATAGAAACCAAGTGGTTTTGGGAGGGAAGAAAACACATTGGGAGTTCAGCTTGTCCCACTGGCCGAGGGCCTCAAGTCCTAAAAATTCCACACCCCTCACCTTTCCCTGTCCCCTCAAAGTTCTATTTCATGAGATACATCATGCTATCAACCACACCAGTGGCTGGCAGCACAGACTAAAACCACTTTGATGCCTTCTCTCTGGTTTCTAAATATGAAAACTCATAGCACTTTTCCCAGACAAGGAGAAGAAGTTTGCCTCCTCAATGAGGAAAAAAAAATCTAAGCCACTCAAGCCATAGACCAAGGTACTCAGGAGCAAAGCAGGGAGTAGAATCCTAACCCTACATTTAGCTCTAACAGGCATTCTTGTTTCCGATCATGCAATAGCCACTCTCCCCCACCGCTGACAAGTTCTCTGATCTCTTTGTGCAGGAGTACAACTTGTTCTAATAGCAAAAAAGTAGGTGCCAGTAGCAGAGAACTCAAGACCAGAAGCACACACCAATATTTTCAAGCTAACAGGGGTATGACTTGTCCAAACCCAATCCCTTCCTCTGATTCTGATCATAGGCTTCTTCCTCAAGCTGAAATTGAATTTTTCTGCCCCATCCTTCAAGAGCTTTGGTCTCCTTCAGCTAAAGAACCTCACAATCATGACGAAGTATCCTCAAGAGTTAATCTAAATCCTCCTCCCTCAATTCAGATCACTTCCTCTCAGATTTGGGTCCCTCCGTTTGTTTTGTGGTATGGAATGAAGACGTTTGACAAAATTGTGCTGCCCCAGCTGGCAGAGCACACACTAGGGGGCCTAACTCCTGTTCCATTCTATCCAACCCCCTAAAGGAGATTTCAACTTCACTGCTTGCTGGTAACTGGAAGGCCGATCTCCAGTTAACTGGCAGTACCTGGCTGCTGTTTCCCCACATTTTCCCTTCTGTTCGTTTGATCCTCTGTGCCCATGCTAACTCTGGCCCCACCCAGCTGACTTGGGCTATGAAGACTTTGGCAGAGGTCTGCACATTTCTGTGGCTTCCTAAAGCTTTGCTCCTCCATGGAGAGGAGCCAGACCAACCAGAACAAGAGCCCCAGCCTTCCTGCTCACCGTTCAGCCATTCCCAGGACCCACCCAGATGGCACTGAGGCCCCCAGGCTGATGCAGTGAAGAGCCATATTCTTCAAGACTGGAACTTTAGATTCAAGAAAGGGAGCCTAGGAGGAACCATGTGGCAATCATTGTGACTTATTAAATGGGTTTGCTTGTTCAAACCCATTCTGAGTCTTGCTAACAAGAGAGTCTAATCATTGTGCCGGTCCTTATTTCTCTTCCTAAAGTGGAAATAATCTCTGCATTTTTATAGTGCTTTACGAATCCCTTCCCATACTTTATTTCACTTGATTCTCACAGGCGAGAACAGTTTCATCCCCATTTTACCAAAGGGGGCACTGAAGCCCAGAGAGGTTACAAAACTTGCTCAAGGCAACACATGCAGTTGATGGTAGCAGAATTTGAGGTCAGGTCTTCCAATTCTTGATCAGAAAGGGCAGTATAATGGGGGGCAGGTGGGATGGAGACAGAAAGTCATGGGTTCAAATCCTGACCCCACCATTTACTGGCTGTGTGATTTTGAAAAGTTATTCAGCCCCTCTGAGACTTGGCTTCTGCATTAATAACATGAAGGTAATACCTCCCTCAGAGGGTTGTCATCAGAATTAATGGACACAGACACCTATTTAATATTAGTTCCCCACCTGGATATCCTGCTAAAGGCCATCAGAGTTTGGTGTCTGTGAAAGCACCCTCCCTCTGCACTCTGCAAACAGATGCACAAACATAACTAAACAAAACCATCTCCCCACAGCCCAATTTTCTGCAAGCCCCAAGCATGCAAGCCCAAAGCATCACTCTCATGAGTAGGGCTTTCAGGAAGCAGTTTCTTCCCCAGGGCCAGCCACTGTCAGACACTTTAACAGCAAACCCAGTTTCAGACCATGGCCACAAAAGGCCAACTAGGCCAGGATGGGCCCCTGCCCTTCTCAATGCCAAGTCCAATAATTGGTGCTGGGTTTTGTCTTGTTTTGCTTTTAATTGAGATGGATTCTTACTCTGTTGCCCCGGCTGGAGTGCAGTAGCACGATCTTGGCTCACTGCAACCTCCACCTCCTGGGTTCAAGTGATTCTCCTGCCTCAGCCTCCTGAGTAGCTGGGACTACAGGTGCCCACCACCACACCAGGCTAATTTTTGCAATTTTTTTTTTTTTTTTTTTTTTCTAGTAGAGACAGCGTTTCACCATATTGGCCAGGCTGGTCTCAAACTCCTGACCTTGTGATCCACCCGCCTCAGCCTCCCAAAGTGCCGGGATTATGGGTATGAGCTACCGTCCCCGGCACAGTGCTCATTTATAGGTGCTAACTTCATTGCTTTTATATCATTATTTAAAATCTAAATGAAGAGCACTCATTTACCTTCTAAGTACCTTCAGGCCAATTTTCTCTCTGCCTGTCCTCTCTAGACCTGACATAACTGAGCTGGGTGGGAAACATGCCAAGGATGCTTTCTTTTGAATCCTGCACTCACATTTTCTGTCTTTTCCAAACCCGGTCTCAGTAAGGACCCGAGGCATGAATCTTGCGAGCCCTACAGTAGAGATTGTATTTCACTCACGACTTCTAGCTTATATCCAAAGAAGAAAGGGGCAAACTAGCTTCTCAGTGTCTTGGGGACACAGGAACTAAAGCTACTCATGAGATGGAAGTGACCAAGACAGAAGCTGGTCAGGAGCAGAGGCACAGCCTCCAGGGTTTCAATCCACAGGAAAACCTTTCCCACGAGAAGCCTCTCCACTTACTTCTGTCTTAAATCAAGCTTTGGTTTCACTTAAATTTTGCAAAATGCTATGTGATTAAGTCTTTTCAGTTAAATAAAATGACTATCAGTGCTATTTCTTATTTTTAAAAACATTTATAAAATTAAAACTTGTAACTAAATCACCTTTAATTTTTAAGGGGCAGTTATAGATGAGGCAAAATATTTTAACTCACAAGAAAATCTTACCAGGTGCAAGTGGCTCATGCATGTAATCTGAATACTCTGGGGGGCTAAGCAGAGAGGATCATTTGAGCCCAGGAGTTCAAGACCAGCCTGGGCAACATGGTGAAACCTCACTCTACAGAAAAAATACAAAAATTAGCCAGTGGTGGTGTGTGCTTGTAGTTCCAGCTACGTGGGAGGTTGAGGTGGGAGAATCACTTGAGCCTAGGAGGTCAGGGCTGCAGTGCGCTATGATCATGCCACTATACACTCCAGCCTGGTTGACAAGGCAAGATCCTATCCCCAAAAAAAAGAAAAAGAAAGAAGAAAACTTGCTGAGAGCCCTCTATACCAATCCCATAAGCTATACTCGGTGCCTAATAGTTCTGCCCTGGTCTGAGTATCCATTCCCAGGCCAAACACCTCTCTCCATAGCAAGAGCTCTGAGTGAGGAGGAAGAGTCAACTGCTGATCTTTGGTAGCTTTTGAAACAATCATATCACTGCAATCACTAAAAATAAGAGTTTTAGTCAACCCCAGCTGGTATCCTTTGGGATGTGATTGAGTACCTTCAACAATGGGAAAGAATAAAGGGCTTCAACCACTACAAACAGGCCCCCAAAAGAGGAATTACTATGCCTGCTGAGTTTGGGCACCCCCATCATAAGCATTCTCTCTGTTTCACCAGTTTTAGGTCTAGTATATTCCTCATACCAAATTTTAAAAAATAAAAATAAAAAAACAAATCCAGAAAGGTCTGATGGTAGAAGAAGTCCTTTACCTTAAAAATGGTATTTTCCTCTTCTTGTTGAGGGCTATGCCGGGTGGCATGTTTCCAGGGAATCTGGAAGCGCTTAGAGTCCCTGTGTAGCCAGATGAGCCCAGGGTAGAGGCCACTATCCACCTGGGCCACCAGCCAGGGCTTCAGCCGGACTCTGCGGGGGTGGAGGGCCATGATCTGGGGGTTCAGGGGGAGAAGTGGGAAGAGCAGAAGAATTAGGCCAGCCACTGGGAACCCTTCCCAGCCACCTTTCCCATCTACTAGAGCTACAGTTTCACTAGATTACAGCAAAGAAACTAAATATGGGAATAAACTGTGCCAGGTGGGAAAGAAAAGAGGTTAAAAGGTTCTTTTCATTGATTCCAAAGCCATTTATACTTCATGCTTTAGCCAAATCAGACTTATCATACAAGTAGATCACATTTCTTCTATTTAAATCCTGAAGCAGAAAAATAAAAAGGTGATGTCATCCTGCTGGAACACAGTCCTTCCTGAAGCACCAAGGGCTTTGGAAGAGAAGGGAAATTGTTCTTTTCAATCTCATCTCAGGAGAAGGAAGAAAAAAGTTACGGAAACAGCAACAACTATATAAAAAAGAAGCTGAAGCATGTTCTCTTTTTAAACAAGACAACTAAAGGTGAATGGGAATATTTTAGAAAGAAATGACACCACCATGGGGAGAGAGAAGTAGGTGAGGCGTATATCCCAGACCTGAGTCCTCACTTACATGGAAGAGCAGGCAGTGTGTCCACAGGGATCTGAAGAGTCGACTTGGCTTTCCCTTGGCCGCTCAAATGTTCTGTATGGAGAAAAGGGGTGTCTCAGCTGGATATCCATACAACAGTCCAGTGTCTGGGAGAAGGATTGGGAACACTGGTGACAAAGGCTCTGAGAACACTTCTCCGCAACTTAGTCTGGTAAAGCTCAGAAGTCCTAGGATAACCAAACACTAAAGTACTAAGAGTACTTAGAGCACTAAAAACTGTCATGAGACAGGCTTTGCATGGCTAGGGCAGCCTCCTCCCTTGGGTCTGTTTATCTCCCAATGAAGCCTGGAGTGAACCGATTGGTTGCAGGAGCCAGCCTGGGTAAAGTCTGCAATTGATTCTCATAAAAATACATGTGCCTAGCAGATAACATTCAACAGCAGCTGGCACTCACAGCAGAAAACAAAAGCCTTCCCAGATTGGGTGCGTGATAAAAAAAACTAGTCACTGGAGAATTGTTTGCCTGAGATGTTGTGTTTGGATTTTCTGGTGTTCTTATTTTGTTTTTACTTAAGATGAGAATGAGATGCCTGGAAAAAGAACACTCATTCAACAAATATTTGTTCATCAGCTACTGTGTGCCAAGCGCAGTGTTAGTTACTAAACACTAAAGCTCAATGTTCCTTCTTGAGAAGCTCCACATTGGAACTTCTCAAGCCCCACGATCGCCTGAGGAGGAGTGGAAGATAAATAGGCCATCTTCATACCCAGAACGATCCCTACCTGGATCATAGTTCTGAAACCAAACAACCTGAGTCAGGTGAAGGCTCTACCCAGAAGAGCTTAGCTGACAGAGTGGTCCGTAACACCACTTCTCTCCCCAGATTCCCAACAAATGTGAAAAACCCAAACCCAACTCGGCGTCTGGCACTTTAAGAGCAAGGTAAGACCTGCTCTCACCTGAGCTTTCTGACCCAATTACCAGCTCCTGCAACTGAAACCTTCCCCCTGGGAGCACAGTGGGTAGGTAAGGTTGGCATGAAGTGTTCAAGTGCCCCCACATAGTTGGCCTTGAATTACTGTGTTTTGTAGGGCAGCATGTGAAATCATCAAACCATGGGGTACATTTACACCTTATAAGGAGGAGGGATGCATATTCTCTCAAGGACTAGTTCTACCTTCTGCTCCCCTGTCCTATCACTACTGAAAAGGGGATAAAGCAAGGGAAGGAAAAAGAGGATAGGGAAATCGGCACCAAATCAGTCATATAGTAAGGAGCTTTTGAGAATTTCCATTGCAATACTGGTAAGTGCTGTGTCTGGGCCTATCAAACATTAAAATCCACCTCTTGACCGATAGTGTGTTTGAAGAAAAGTCCGAAAGGGCTTACTGCAGTTGATCCAAAGCCCACCGAGAAAAAATTAAGGCAATCAGGCCAAGATCAGGAGCTGCACCTGATGATGGGAAAGGTGAAGCAGCCACCCATAGAGATCAGTGATAAAGATCGAGAGCCCTGGGTTCTCAGTGTTCTCCTAAGATGGAACTACACATGAGCAGTCCTGCCTCAGCCTCATGGAAGCAGCCCCAGCCTGCCCTCCTCCAAGCCCATGCCCTGCCTCCCTCACTGTAAACCCTCTCCACCTTCTGAAAGTCAGCCAAGATCTCCCCCACCTACCACCTATTAACTACAATTCTAAAAACAGGCAGAGATGGAAAAATTGAAAACCCAAATGACCGAGACGGGAATGGTTCATTATGTCACAACCACAGGCTGTAACATCAAGTAGCCATTAACAACAGGTGTCAGAATTTTTATTATATTCAAGGAAATGTTTACAATATGAAGTTGTGGGGGCAGGAGGAATACAGCATACAACTTGACTGTGTAGCACTATCTCCATCTTGTAACACAGCATATACTTGCATACACATGCACATATACACGGAACTGAAAAGAGGAAATAAACACACCAATGCAACAAGATATTTGTAATGATTATCTAGTGAGGGAATTATGGGTGCTTTTTACATTCTCCTATATACATTATATATGATTCATAGTTTAGTACAATGTTACAATTTATAATATAAAAAACTACAAGTAATATTGTTAACTTTAGGACAATAAGACATTTCTTATGAAGGATGGTAACAACAATCCTTTGTATCTGTGTAGGCTTTACAATTTTTGCATGAACCCTTTCCTAACATGTATGATTTCACCCTCATGACCTGAACGTGGTATCTCTCTGCCCATTTTACATCTGGGCTGAGATACTTTACCTGCTAAGTCAGGTCTGTACCAAACCCTGCCACTGCACCCTCTCTTCCATGTCCCTCTCATCTTCTTCTATGCTCCAAGAAGGTAAACTAAAAACATCAACAAAGATCCCAACAGCATAGAGGGCCAATAAAGTGACTGAGGTGGAGACTGTGTACATCCACTCTCTAACACACCTAAATCAGAGTTCTCTTTCAAAACAATCTCACCACCTAAATCCCAACACCTGCAGAACCACCTTAGCCTAGCTGAACTCATCTTGATATCTCTAGCTGCAAAATGTAAGGCCTGTGTCTCTAACAGGTATTTAACCAGCCAAAGGACAATGATGCAAACCTATCTATTCCCCTCACACTGAATATAGAAGCGGGGACACTTTCAGTTCCTCGGGGCACTAACTGTCCTCTTCCATACCCCCTATGCTAGGCAGCGGATCCTCCATAAACACCCTCATTGCCGCCTCCATAGACCCTCCCCTGACTAGTTTCCAGGGGCACTACCACTCCAAAGCTGAGATTTGGCCGTCAGTGGTTTCGCTCAGCTTAAAACACACGCCATTTCTTGCAGACAAGTCTGAGCAGTCCCAGTTCTTCCCTTTCTCCTGAAGGAAGTGAAATGCCATCCTCTAAGTTCCTCAGGCTTCCCTGTTTAGTTTAGCCCTGCTTAGGGGTAAACTCCAGGCCTCTAGCCAAAATCCCCACACCCTACCCCCTGCTGGATGGAAGTTAGGGTCTGGCAAATGGGAGTTTCAAGGTACTGAGTGCCACTGTCACACATCATGCACACGTCTCATCCTAAACCACGCTCCTGGGTCAGCACCAGCCTTCACCAGTCCCACCCAAGCGCCTTCCTCTCCCTTCCCTCACTTCCACTCTTGACATCCACCAAGACAACAGGTTGAGACAGGGTGACCCTTTACCACAGAGCAGGCTCCCTGTAAAGAGGACACCTCAGGCCTCTTTTCCAAGTCAGGCCTGAGAGACTTTCCCCATTCTCCATACCACCCTCCAGCCACTTCGGGCAAAGAGGGCCCACCCCCAGAGCAACCACACCCCAGCGCCATCCTCCCCAACACCTACCTCCGCTCCTTGGAAATCCATGGGTGTCTCCCAGGCCCAGGGCGAAGGGCCTAACTGTGCCAAACAGACTCAGGGAGGGAAAACAAACCGCCAGTGCTTCCCAAGCTCCTGGCCACCCTCACCCCAGTTTCCCCAAACGCCCACCAGGACCAAGGGCCTGCGGACCTGGGAAGTCCCCTCTCTGGGGCACAGGGGCCAGCGGCAAGTTGTTAAGACTGAAGGGCGCGCGGTGCTCAAGCTCTACCAAATAGCGGGGTGGGTGGGGGCCGAGACAGTGCCCTCCGTTTCGGCGGTGGGGGTAGGGAGAGCAGACACAAGTGTGGAGTCGGGAGGGGCCTAGCGCTACAGAACTGGGGCCGCCCCAGAGCTATCTAGAGAGGGCGACAGGCACCCCGTCCCACTGAGTAACCCCCGCAAACACACAGATGCCCCCAAGCAAGCTCTCCCACCCCCCACAAACTACAGGGACAGGTCCTACTCCACCCACGGGGGAGCCTCCCCTCCCTCAACCTGGTCCCCAGAAGTTGGCGTCCCCACCTTTGCCCAATCTGTCCACCAGAAGCGGACGTCCCTCCGAACTAAGTCCGCAGCGAAGATCAACCGTCGCTACCACGCTCCTCGACGTCTTGGCCAAGGGGCTCCTGGCTCTACCCAAACACGGACTGCGGGCTCCTTTCCCCGTCCCGCACCAGCCCTTACCTGCCCGGCCCAGGTGCGCCGAGCTCACGTCAGCGCCTCGCCCCAGGACGCCGCAGACCTCGCAGCGCCCGGCCACGCCTCCCAGGTGCGGCCACGCCCTCCGGCGTTCGGGATTGGCGAGCTGCAAGAAATGCGATACTCCGCGTTCTGGGCGGCCCGGCCCGGCGGCGCCCGGCCTCGGTTCCACCCTACTCCCCCGCTTCTAACTCCCGCGAAGAAAGTCCCAGATTCGGGCCTAGCCCTTACGCCTCAGGGCTGGTGGTCCTGGGAACTGGAAGCGACTGGGAGTTCAGATCTAAGTCGAGAGGGTGCCTCCTTCCCTCACGCCCCGTAATTACCCTGCAGTATACAGACAGTTAAGCACAAATAAGGGTTTTGAGATTCTGGGTTGGCCCTGCCACTCGTGGGCCTGTGCAAGTGAAGTTGTCGTGAGGAAGAGAACCAGGTCACTTGGTCCTGTCTGGGGCAGCCATAGGCTTCCAGGAATAGAATTCTACCTTTACTCTGCCTCTTACCCTTGTGACCCTGGGTAAGTTACTTAGATTCTTGGTTTCAGTTTCCTCATCTCTTCAATGAGAACAATAATTCCTGCCTTTTCTTTTTTTGTTGTTGTTTGCTTTTTTTCTCTTTCTTCCTCTTCTTCTTCTTTTTTGAGATGGGGTCTTGCTATGTTGCACAGGCTGGCTTAAGGGAGACGGCTCAGCCTCACAAAGTGCTGGGATTACAGGCACTGGCACCCAGCTCAGTTCCTTTTTTTTTCTAAGGCAGGGTCTGGCTCTGTCACCCAGGCTAGAGTGCAGTGGCACAGTCAGAGCTCAACCTCCTGGGCTCAAGCGATTCTCCCACCTCACCCTTCCAAGTAACTGGACCTACAGGCATGGGCCACCATGCAAGGCTAATTTTTTTTTTTCTTTTGTAAAGACAGGGTCTCACTATGTTGCCCAGGCTGGAGTTCCTGCTTTCTCTAATCACTATCATGTAATGATTAAAAGCATAGCCTCTCGAGCCAACTATTGGGGTTAAAACCCCAACTCCATCAGTAACTACACACTTGGGAAAGTTTCTTATGTGTAGAAAGAGGTTAGTAATAGTACCTACCTCAGGGGTATTGTGGGGATTCAATGACTACATGTAAACTGCTTGCAACAGTATTTGGTACTTATCACGTGCTTTATATGTACTTGCAATTATTATTGGTGTAAAGACTAAAAGTACTATACAGACAGTGCGTCAGAGAACAGGAAGGCATTCCTTGTTGTTACCTGAAATTCAAGTCCTGTATGTATCCTAACAGGTGCTTGATAAGATTTCCTTCACCCTCCTCATCTAACTAGAGGACAGGTTTGCAGGAGACTGTGTAGCAGTAAATGAGACTTTAAAAAATCCCCCACCCTCAACCACTAGCTGTCATAGGTGAAATGGGGAATAAGCAGGTCACTTAGGTTTTGGTGTTTAGAGTAATGAGTGAGAAACCGTGGAGGAGTGGTGCAATGAGTTGAATTGTCACACACACACACACACACACACACACACACACACACACACACACAAATTGTATTTTGAAGTCCTGACCGCCCCCCCAACCCCAGCCAGATGTCAGAATGTGACCTTATTTGGAGACAGAATTCTTAGTAATCAAGTTAAAATGTGGTCATTAGGGTGAGCCTGAATCCAATATGAATGGTGTCCTAATAAAAGGAAGAGACTTGGACACAGAAGCAGATACCCACAGAGGGAAGGTGATATGAAGAGACATGAGGAGAAGACAGCTAGCTGCAAGCCAAGGAGAGATACCTGGAACAGAGCTTTTAGTCACATCCCTCAGGCCCTTGATTTTGGAATTTTAAACTCCAGAACTATGAGACAAAAAATTTCTGTTGTCCAAGCCACCCACTCTGAGATACGTTGTTATGGTTGCTCTAGCATACTCATACAAGTGTGCTGAAGAGCCCCAGATTGATAATAACATAGACCTGATTCCAAGTCCCAGTTTAGCTTTGGGCTGTAGCCAGAAGGCAGCAAGGCCCCAAGACCTGACTCAGCCAACTCTGTCTCAGCCACTGCCCTATGGCCACTCTTGCCTTCACTGGGAGAAGGACAAGCCCATCAGCACAGCTAGCTATTTACTGCTGATGAGCTCACTAGACAAGTAGCATCTTCCATCTGGCCCAGGGCTGGGCTCTGGGGACCAAACAAGGTCCACTGTAGGTATGGTGTGTGAGAGGGATGAGGGGTAAGGCCATTGGGAGAGTATCATTTGAGGGGAGTCAGAAGCCCAATAGCATACAAGTATGAGCTCACACACACGCACTCATTTTTGCACCACCTGAAATTCCCATGACTAAGGGGATGTCTTAAGCATCTTCTTTAGAAGACATATATTTTGGAATCAGAAAACTCAGGCTGGGAGGGTCCTTCTAGATGATCTAGACCGAGACTAAAACTGACTTAGCCAGTTTTTACCCACACAGTATTTTAAATATCAGGAGATCTCACATAAACATCCAGATTCTCAGCATCTCTTAAAGAGTCAAGTGCTCTGGATGCTCTACCAGCAGTTCTACCTGGCAACAGCTGCCCATTTAGAGGGAGTCTGCATGTAGCAGTCAGGACAAACTCACTCTATTGAGCTCACTCATTAACTTTAATTACCTGACCCTGTAGGCATCTGATTGCAACTTCAAGGTCAAATTTCCCCTTTTCATAGATGAGAAAACTGCGGCCCAGAGAGGTCAAGTGATTTGCTCAAGGTCTTATAGCATACCAGCCACAAAACCAAGACTAGAACACAAACCCAGACTCTATCCACTTGAACCCTGCTCAGATCCCCAGCCAGTCTATTCTGACCTGTTCTGTACTGACTACTAACTATTTGTTTTAAAATCACCCATGGACCTAGAAACTGTTGATATTGCCATAAGCAAAACAAAGTCCCAACTCTCATATCACTCAACTGAAGAATTGATGAAAGGGGGCAAAGCAGGGGGAATTAAGGCAGAGATCAGGAGGAACTCCCTGACTCTGCAAGCATCAAGCCCTGGCAGTAGGCCACCCTGATGTCTTCTTTTGTTGATACACACTTCATCTGCTTGATCTGGAGAATAAGAACATCTTGTGAGTCTTTCCACAGGCTCTTGAGGAATCTGCTGTATTCTCAAAAGAGCTTCTTCAGGACTCAGTCATTCCCAACATGCCCTGGGCCCGCAATGCTCCCAGCATTTTGCCCTCCATTGATAATCAGGTGGGGCAACGCTGACTCACTAGTGAGTCTTGAGTTTCAGGTAGTGGGATGTACATTTCAGCACAGGGGCCCTGATTCACAGCCATAGGGAATGGGGGAATTCCCCTCTCCTGCTCCCAGTCAGCCCTCATTTGGTAGGGAGGAGTTTCTTTTACCATCCAGAGACTTTAAACTCTACAATATCAGACATGTAACAATAAAACTATGGACTCAAATCCCACTCTCTTCTTGGCAGAGCGGAGGGCATGGCAACTGAGACTCCTCCCTAAGGCTCCATACAGTGGAGAATTTAGTGTTACTGGAGTCAGTGACAGCCAATAAGCTGTGCACCTTTGGTGAGGTTGCAATTAGGGTAGGGACCTTGCACTAAGCAATCCAATTCTGTGCTTTCAAAGGAAATCAGACTCCAACCTCCCTTCTGGAAGGCATTCTGGAGCCCATCAGGTCTACTCTCACTCTTCTCTTGGCCCTGGTTTATCTCTGTCTCCATCCAAGTATCCTAAAGCATCAGGGCTACAGATGATCCTAACACATTGCCGAAGGCACAGCCTAAACTGTAATGCACATTGGTTGTTGCTCTCTGTAGTATCCTCTAAATTCTAGAATCACCAAGATGGCAAGAAGCATAAAAGAACCTAACTTTCCAATCCAAGCAATGGCACAGACTTTGGCTTTGGACTCTAGGAGAATTCTCCACCAAAGTGTTCAGAATGTCTTCTGAGTCTTTCCATAGTCAGAAAACTCTTTTTATCCTTGAAGCAAGCTGAGCACTTTGAGAAAGTGGTCTCAAAGAAGCAGCTTTCTTTATTAGTGCAATGTCCCTACCCCACTAACAACCTCAGCAAAGGTGCACAGCTTATTGGCTGTCACTGACTCCAGTAACACTAAACTCTCCACTGTACGGAGCCTTTGGGAGGAGTCCCAGTTGCCATGCCCCCTGCTCTGCCAAGAAGAGAGTGGGATTTGGGTTCATAGTTTTATTGTCACATGTCTGATATTGTAGAGTTTATATCTCTAGGGGAGGCAAAGGAGGAAAAACAAAGCCAGGAAATCATTTGGAAGTAAGCTCCCCCTTGAGGCCCTCCCTTCATTCTTCTGCCCCTTCATTGCAAATCTTGAGGGTCCACTTCCCATTTTCCCCAGCATGGGGAGCTTCCATTGGCTCTGCAGACAAAAGAGCCGAATAAGAAGCTACAACCACCACGAGTGTGAGAGTTCAGAGTTCTGATTGCAAATATGCTTCCCCATTAGGACAAAACAGTGGCCTGATTTTGGCTTCATGATCAGCACCAAATCTGTGATTCACAGCACCTATCCTGTGATTCTATGCTGCTTTGAAATGAGATAGTGGATATGAACGCTCTCTGAAATAGGTGGAGTACTGTGCAGACGGAGCGACCATCACTGCTGATATCTGCTCTTTGTTTCCTTTGTGTAAATAATTCTCTCCAGACTTCAATCAAGTCCT